TATTCTTTGTCTCACTACACAGCACTATTCTTTGTCTCACTACTTTGTCTCACTATACACAGCACTATTCTTTGTCACACTATTCTTTGTCTCACTACACAGCACTATTCTTTTTCCCACAACGCAGCACTATTCTTTGTCTTACTACGTAGGACTATTCTTTGTCTCACTACAGTACAGCACTATTCTTTGTCTCATTACATAGCACTATTCTTTGTCTCACTGCACAGCACTATTCCTTGTTTCACTACACAGCACTATTCTTTGTCTCATTACATCACAGCACTATTCTTTGTCTCGTTACATCATAGCACTATTCTTTGTCTCATTACACAGCACTATTCTTTGTCTCATTACACAGCACTATTCTTTGTCTCACTACACAGCACTATTCCTTGTCTCAATGCACAGAACTATTCTTTGTCTCACTACACAGCACTATTTTCTGTCTCACTACACAGCACTATTCTTTGTCTCACTACACAGCACTATTCTTTGTCTCACTACACAGCACTATTCTTTGTCTCACTACTCAGCACTATTCTTTGTATCCCTACACAGCACTATTCTTTGTATCCCTACACAGCACTATTCTTTGTCTCACTACACAGCACTATTCTTTGTGTCACTGCACAGCACTATTCTTTGTCTCACTGCACAGCACTATTCTTTGTCTCACTACACAGCACTATTCTTTGTCTCACTACACAGCACTATTCCTTCTCTCACTGCACAACACTATTCTTTTTCCCACTACGCAGCACTATTCTTTGTCTCACTACACAGCACTATTCTTTGTCTCACTACACAGCACTATTCTTTGTCTTACTACACAGCAGTATTCTTTGTCTCACTATGCAGCACTATTCTCTAGTCATTTCACAGCACTACCCAGGTAAAATGTCAGGCGGGATATAGGTGGGATCCCGGCAATCCCACCCAGGATCCCAGGTGGGAATGGCGGGATCCCGCCCTAGGTGGTGGGATCCCACCTTTCCCACCTGGGATGAAAATTTGATCCCACCTGGGATCCCGCATTTAATGCGGGATTCCTGCATCCCACCCGGGATCTTAGGTGGGACTTATGCATTCTACCCGGGATCCTGGTCGGGATTTACATATCCCACCTGGGATGCATTATCCCACCCACGAAAATATTGTTTTGCTGTTTTTATTCTTACAAAACATTTTTGTAAGAGTTCCAATACTTATGGATCATCCACACACTCTGCAAATATTTGGCATGCGGACAAGACAGAGGTGGTCACTGTTCCCTTCGAGAAAATACACCTTTTAAATGACTTGTTCAATTTGCTTTATTTGAAACTCTGATCTGAAAATATTTTTAAAACAAGCCTTGTTAGTAGTGAGAAGTACAAACCGAGTTTCTTTTCATTACTTAATTTCTTAAATGTCCCAATCACTGGACCTCCTAAAAAATATTACTTCTTTATATTTTTGGTGCAAAATACAATTCCTTCTTTACATACAAATGAAAAGTACAAGTCACAGTTCAATAATAACAGCTCTAAAGTTTACTTGTTGTTCTTCTCTGAGTCAGCGATCAACAAAATTTTTCTATACCTTGTAGGTCTGGTATAAAATTTTACTTGTAGTATAAAATGACAACCTTGTATCTTCGTCCTCTCCACCCCTTTCCGAGCTCGGGAACGCTTCGGACTGTGCAAAACCATTTGCAGACGAGAATTCCAATGCACCTCTGTAATCGCATGTAGTTGCTTCTGTCTCTCGTGCGAATGTTTTCTCCGTTATGAGACGCACTTGACTCTGTTGGCACCACTGCTAGTTCAGTGGAAAGACCGACTGAGGAATCGAGATGGCTAGCTGTGTTGGAACGTGTTGCTGAACGCTTGTTGTGGTCAAGCCTTGTTGATTTGGGTACTAGTACACTGGGATCATCTAGGTATCTATTATACTTCCTAATGTGATTGGCTTGTGTTGTTTCTCACCTTCGCCGTGAACGTAACTCAAGTGGGTTTCGAGTCTTTCTTTCCTCGAAAACTTTCGGCCACAAATCGTGCATTCTTGTTTGATTCTTGTCGATTATTTCTACATAGAGTGAATTCACATCATTATTTATGTCATCATCAAAACATGAGAGGAGAACCGGTCAGAAGAGACAGAATAATGTTGCGCGCTTCTCTTGAGACTGCAATGGGTCAAGCCAGCGGATTCTCTTTGATAAAAGGTCCACGTGATCATGCCCGTGATCGGAAACAAAGAAAACTCCATTTGGCGCTCATCTTTGAATGTACTTTTCATCGGTCAACCGCTCTTGCTTGAAGTTGTTTCTTTTCTCAATTGTTTTGCGTAATATAACACTTCTAGAGATGAGTTTTATTGTGGTTCAATGGGAAAACGAGAACAGCGTGAGTGTTTTAAATGAAAAGAAAGTCGTTGGCGCCGTGGAATTAAAAGAAGGGACAATTAACAGTTGACATATCGACTGGTTCAAACAACGATCAAGTGGCCATTTAAAGCTAGGATTTTTAGAAGTTTGTGGTGAGTACAAATTGCCATATTCGTTACGTGATCAAAATCTTATCAAAGAATAGAAATAACGGCTTGGATTAAGCTTACCTAACGCTCAGCGCAACTGAAACTCAAATAATTCTGAGAATCGAATTGGTCACTTGCATGCTGCAGTTTCCTAAGCTTACACTTTACAATGAAATAAATCTATGAGTAAGGTTTCAAGATTACTTTAGTCACATTTGGGAACATTCTGACCTTGCTTTGCTTTGAACAATTCGACTGAAGAGAGAGCAGACTTTCAATCAGTACCTTTGTCAAAATTTTGATAACATGAATTATGGAGGTTTTGTCTTTCTTCTATTCTTTGATACACATCAGCCAATTTTTTTAAACGTGGAGCCTTATTACACTGTAGATGGTCTGCTTAAATGATGAAGAAAAAGTAATGTGCTGAGTTGTGCTGTTATTATTTAACAATGTTTGGTTAAGAAATTTGTTAATGAAACATATCAAACACATGCTGGTTCATTGCAAATAAATTATGATATCTTTATCACATATAGTCTGTGTATTCATGTACTGTTTGAATCATTTATGATCAACAGCTTGGTAAGACAATGGGATCCCATTGGAGGTGTCAGTATGTTCTATAGCTAGTTGGAAAGTTTTGGACCCTCAGTGGATTGATGGGGTCTATAGCTCACCTAGAAAATATTTATCCTCTTAATTTTACGGATTAGGTTACAAAAGGAATTGATAAGATATCCTATCTGGTACATTTTATAAATCTGTGGTCTCCAGTGATAAACAGGATCCCTCAAAGGATTTTTCTGAAAGTGGGAAGCCATCTGTAATTTTATGCAGGGACTAAACTGGGATTGGCAGGATCCCAGATGCAATCCCGCCTGGGATATGATTTCCCAGGTGGGAAACTATCTGAAATTTGAGGCAGGATCCCAAGAGGGATTGGTGGGATTCTAGGTTTAATCCTGCCCGGGATGTGCTTTCCCAGGTGGGATGCTATTAGGAATTTAAGGCGATCCCAACTTCAATTGGCGGGATCCCATGTGGGATCCCATGGGGGATGTTCCATAATCCCAGGTGGGATCCCATGTGGGATGTTCCATAATCCCATGTGGGATCCCATGCGGGATCCCATGCGGGATGTTCCATAATCCCAGGTGGGATCCCATGCGGGATGTTCCATAATCCCAGGTGGGATCCCATGCAGGATGTTCCATAATCCCTCCCGGGATCCCACGCGGGATGTTCCATAATCCCACCCGGGATCCCACGCGGGATGTTCCATAATCCCAGGTGGGATCCCACGCGGGATGTTCCATAATCCCAGGTGGGATCCCATGCGGGATGTTCCATAATCCCACCCGGGATCCCAACTGAAAAAGGCGGGATCCCACCCGGGACACACCTGGGATCCCAGGTGGGATTGGCGGGATCCCACCTTATATTTTTACCTGGGTATTCCTTGTCTCACTGTCTATCACTCTCTCTTATAATCTCACTACGCACCACTTCTCTTTGTCCGACTACACAGCACCATTTTTTCTCACTTCAGAGCACTATTCTTTGTTTCACTACACATCAGTATTCTTTGTTTCACTGCACAGTAATATTCTTTGTCTCACTGCAGAGCACTATTCTCTCTTTCGCTACACAGAACTATTTTTTGTCTCACTACACGGGACTATTCTTTGTCTCACTGTACAGCACTATTCTTTGTCTCGCTACAGAGCACTATTCTTTGTCTCACTACACAGCGCTATTCTTTGTCTCACTGTACAGCACTATTCTTTGTCTCGCTACAGAGCACTATTCTTTGTCTCACTACACAGCGCTATTCTTTGTCTCACTGCACAGCACGATTCTTTGACTCACTACACAGCACATTTCTTTGTCTCACCACACAGCACTTTTCTTTGTCTCATTACACAGCACTATTCTTTGTCTCACTACACAGCACTATTCTTTGTCTCATTACACAGCACTATTCTTTGTCTCACTACACAGCACTATTCTTTGTCTCATTACACAGCATTATTATTTGTCTCACTACACAGCACAGAAATTTTAACACCTTTACCCCATGTCGAATTTTGGACAGGATACTCAACGATATCTTATGTGTGAAGTATTAGGCACTCCCTCTCCGGGGAAAGCTTGTCTGCGGGAAGCACGACGACTTTAAGGTGTTCTTGTCTAGAGTAGGGTTTGTCTCTTCTGTACCGGCTCGGCGATCAGCAACAGCTCTTGTTTTTAACCTAGAACTACGCTTGTAATAAAACGCGCAGAGCCACATGCAAGGCTGTGTTTGCCTAAAAGTAGTTGCTATTCAAAGCGTGACGACTTTTCAGAACGCTTTGATGGATTGTAATAGTAATCCATCAAAGCGTTCTGAAAAGTTGCTGTTTGTATCCCAAGGTTTAGGTAAACGCCAAATTTACTGAATTGTCGAAACCAAGTTGATAATGTCTTAATACTGCGTTTACTGGACTTCGTACGTTGCCCTTTAACAGTTGACTCGTGGCGCACATGATTAGTTCTAATAATCCAAACTACCAAAGCATGATCTTGTTTCTGAAACAGATCACAAAAAGTTAAAAGCTTATTAGTGCAGCGTGTAAATTAAGGAAGTAATTAAACAAACTAATTAAAGTGTCTCTTGTTCACTGCAAAAGTGATACTAGGTACTTCAACAGTTCTTGCATCGCTGGCGAATAGGTCAGGACGCCTCTAGATACCAGCAAGAAAACATATTCTCTCTATACCAGTATAATTACTTAAAGGACTTAGGTGTTGCATTACACGCACTAAGTGGCATAGATAAACCAGGCTGTTGCTCCAGATAAGGCGCAAACCCGACAACAACAACAAATGGAAACTGGAAGAAAGGCTGTTTACGATTTCAGAGTTACAGTAATTAGGTTGGCCAGTTGATTAAGACCAGCGCAGAACCGACAAAAGGACAGGTTTTAGCACGTACGAAATTTCTTGTGGGAACTTTCCAAACCTGTTGCAACATGGGACGCATCGTACAGTGCGCGTTGCTTACAGACAACCTGGTTAGAGCACATGTGAATAGTTTCTAACTTTATGCAGATCACGTTTCTAGAAACTTAACCGGTTTATTGTATTAAACCTTGTACTTAAACTAAATATAAAAACACTCAAAACTATAAAAAAAACGCCAAAATATCAAAATATGTAAAATTGCGCGCTAATATATTATTATTCCTTTTGAAAGAGGTGCCTCAAGGCGCCGTAAGAGGAGGGATAGTAACTGACATGGGAAAAACTACGATTGTCAAAGCCGAAATGGATATAAAGAAATAACTATAAAATTGAAGCAAATAGAAAGTGAATACTAAATAAAAAAACTCCAAATCTGGATGGTATAAAAAGTAGTATATAAATCACACAAAATTGTAACTGAGGGGAAGCAGAGACCCACAAAAACGAGTCAAATGTGATGAAATAGACATGCTAGATAATTGAAAAACATTAATTGGGTGTGTACGTTTAAAGTTCAAATGGTGCAGATTACAACATCACAAAAGTACACTCTAATAACGACACACTTTGTGAAATAAAACGAAGATATGACATGCATCTACAGGAAACAACTTGGAGGATGTAGGTAACTTTTGCGCTCCGACGCTGAAAGGGGTGCCATTCAAAAGGGCGAATGAAAAAAAGGGAAACGAACGCCCCAGGAAAAGAGAAAATGGGACGAAAAGTGACCTGTTGAATTTGTTCAAGTAGTCGGGTAAATTAGAGGCGAAGACGTCGAACCCTGCCGCGGTCGACATAGAGCAAACCAAAGGAAGAAACGAATACCTTTTGTGCTGCTGAACATATTCGTGGCGTAAATTAAGAGAGTTACAGTTTTGGTAATGGCCATTGTATACATTTAAATTGTCCATTTTTACTTTTAATGAAAGTCTAAAAGTCAAAAACGTACGGTTGTTGTGGCAAACCTACACTTATCGAGGTAACAACGAATACATCTATTCTGAAGAGAGGTATTCATAGAAGGCTGTTCCAATGGCTGACAAACCACTGCTTTTCTTTTTCTGGAGCTCAACTGCCAACTGCATCATTTTCTTAAACTCTGGGTACATTGCGGGAAGAAGAACCATGATATTTCCCAGACAAAATTTGTGCCAGTCTTCTTCACCGACCTTTTCAGGCTTTTCTCCGAGCTTTCTGTCATAGGCTTTCCCGATTTCATCAGCAGATTTTGTGGGCCGCGTATTCCTCTTTACACCGCGCCACCCAAAATATTCGTAGCTGTTCATAACAGCATCTTCACTCTCATCCCAAATCGCTCCATCAATTGCCCTACCAGCAAATGCACCGACAATGCCACCAGCAATGCCACCGATCAGTGCACCTCCTAATGCACCAATTGGGCCAAACCAAACACCCCCAGCCACTCCTAAGGCAGCGCCACCTCCAATGCCCCCAGCGGCTCCTCCAGCACCTTCAGCAAGACGTTGGCGCAGTTGCACTTCCGTAATTTTATTCATTTTCCATTCAACCACATCCCAAATAGCAAAGACACCAAACATAGCAACCCCGGCAACGGCATTCGAGCGAACTACAGAGACTCCAATCCTTGCAAATGTTGGAGTAGCGACCTTCGCAACAGCTGCTCCAGCACCACCGCCTAAGCCCGCAGCAAGCCCACTTTTTAGGCCCGCTAAGCCTACCTCAACATAATCAACCCTCTCTCCTTTTATAAGCCCAAAAAGCAAGACTCCGCCAGCTCCAAACACAAAGCCAAGACCAGCACCTACGCCGGCACCCATTCGTATACCAATACCTCCACGACCTTGAGCTTGCTGGCCTTCAATTTGCGAAGGCCTACTAGATGCTGAACGCCATTCTGATATACCACTGGTTGAGGACCTGGCAGACTGCCACTCGGACAACTCACTGCAGAGACTGGTCAGTCTTTCTCTATTTACATGGGAAGCTAACGGTCGATCAGGTTTACCTTTAATCAAAAAAGAAAAGAACCAGAGTGGGAATTAATATTCTTGCCTCGTAAAAACAAATCGCTTCCGATGAATGCCAGTCTATTAATAAAGATGAACTAAGAAACAATAGAGCATTTTCACAATGTCGTAATTTGACTACGACTATCAGAATCCTTCATATTTTGCTTTTCTCATGCTTATTGAAGCTATTGTTATTTACTCCTCACAGGGCATACAAAATTGAATAAGAAAGCCAAAACGAAATGAATCCTGGTGGCTGTAGTCAAATGACACCATCGTGAAAATGTCCTATAAGAATCCAAAAGGGACTAACTTGAACATTTAATTGCATACACAAGCTGGGGAGCCATGTTTATATCAGAAGCATGCCTTTACAAGCACGGTGAGACAAAAAGAAACTAGTGTCTAAATAAGGAGAAAAGACACTGCAAACAAAATACAGTTTTTTATAGAAAAAAAAATTATAACAAGAAGAAACTTACAAGCTATCGTGAGATACTTTTGAAATACAAGAACTTCTACAATTAAGAAACTTTTTACCACAAAAAATTCGAGTCCACAACAGAACCTTTATTTTTATGCAAGAGACAATAAAATAACTGAGAATGAAAAATATATCAGTGAGGGTCTTAGGGGCGAAGATGAATGCTTAAGAGCCATGAATCAAATACAATCTGGAAAATCGCCGTTAACCGATGGTCTACCGATAGAATTTCACAAGGTATTCTAGAATGATCTCTTCCCAATTTTTGTCAACGCCATCAATACAGCCTACCAAAAAGGTCTTCTGTCGATTACCCTAAGAAGTGGCAATCACTCTATATATACTCAAATGGATAGAGTGTTGTATCACTTAAAAATCTTATTTTTCGATTGAAACTAGCTACTGCTGATAGGATGAAATCCATTCTTGTTAACATTATCAACAAATAGCAGAACTAGTCTCCAGAAGAGGCATTTCATTTACGAAAAATATTCTCCTTGTACATGGAGTGCACTGTATTCCATTCCATTTTCAAAAAAAGAAAGATTTACCTTTGATTAGCATTTCATAGCTAATTCTTTTTCTTGAACTTGCTCCAATATCTGGAACCTCAGCATGGTCTGCACCCCATAGCTGATGACGGATGTTCTGCAACTCAGTTTTGTTAGTTACCCAGTCTAACTCGGGAAGACGTTTCAAATAGCCAACCATCTCATCAACTGGCATTGTTCTTTCCACTCTCAACTGATGTTTGCCCTGCCAGGCATGTAATATACGTGCTGTTCCATTTTCACGGGCTTCAATTGCAAATACATGATTAGTGCTCCCTGGGAACTTCACGCTAACAAGCACAGCATTACCTTTGCGTAATTCTTCAGCAATCCTGTTGAAATGTTCGGGTCGTATATTGATGTTAGGTTTGCGGACAAAAAACGGCTGGGCATCTGGTATTAGCTGTTGCAAGACTCCTCCCCACTGTACGCAGGATGTTGTGGCCTCTTCTATGGCTTGCAGAGATGCGGGGTTTCGGCGCACTGCTTCTAGAGTTCTAACAAGGTGTGTAACATCACTTCCAGCAGGAACTTCACCAAATCCAAAGCTTGGCATTCTACATTAGAAAACACTGACATGGTTAAAATCTTATTGACGTTTATTCCTCACAGCCCCTCAAATGAATAATTTAGTGAGGGTTAGCTAGATGGAATCACATAGTTTTGCAAGACACCTCCAGCCATGTTCCCAAAGGAGAAGTCCCTATAGACATGGAGATGCTGCATGGCGCTTTACTTTAAAAATGATCTTTCACAGCGTCAAGAAAGTATATTATGTAAGGTTCTTTATTTTATTCTAATTAAAGCTTTATCTATCAAAACAGTGGAAAAACTGGCGTAAAGCCATAACGAACAAAGGAACAAAGTAATAAGTGTGACTTCACAAATGACCAAGTTTGTGAAATTGTGGGATCTGATGATCGATCTAAAATAGCCTGACAAAAAATGACCACTCGCCAAATATTAGCATCAAGGGGGGGGTTACTATCTTTCCATCTTCCCTTATCTGATTTATTCACGAAAATGGCGCTGAATGCGGTGTTTCGCGCCATTTTACCGTAGGAATATCTGTTGGATTATCCAACGGAAACCGTTGAAAATGGTAAGTCAAGTGGATATAAGTATTTAATGACGTTTCATTTCATTGCTGGGTTATGTTTCAAAGAATCAACGAAATCGGTCTCTATATAATGCATTCTTTGTTTTTGACCTTCGATGCGTGAAATTCCGAGAATGTTCTCAATAGCCATCTTTGTTTTCCTTATGTCTCCCTAAAATGCGAGGGCTTTGGGTTCCTTTTATGTGAATTAGACAATTTAAGACTACTACAATCTTCGAGATACGAAGGACTCCTAAGGCCTTCAGGATTTTAAACGCTTTCGATCCATGAAGTTAGAATAATTTGAAGCAGAACACGAGCGGATGACACAAAGTTAGAGTGCAAGTCTGTGTTTTAGTTTCGAATGTATGGAGTACGCCACGTTTTCAAGTGTACGCACGAGAAAAATTTGCGTTTTTGGTAACCGTTTTAATCCGATATATCGCGGCAGTCAAAAATGAAAATATTTTGCGTTCTCATACGAAAACGGATACACGAGTGGACGGGGGCTGAGATATCGGTATTTTTAAACTCTGATGACCGCTCACAACCCAAAGAAATGGCCATTTTAAAAAGTTATTATTCTGCTCTAATGGGGATGGTGGCGTGCACAGAAAAAAAATGGCAGACCGATCAAACTTTTGACAAGAAAACGGAAAAAGTCACGTTTGTAAGTGATTTGCAAGGAAGTAAACATCGAACTTAATCGAACCTAATCGAACTTAATCGAACTCGATCGAACTCAATCGAACGATTGAGTCTGATATTATTCTATCATCGAACGAAATCGAACACAAATCTTTTTTTTGTGAGTTCGAGTTTGAGTCGAATAAAAGCATGCATAGTATACAAATTCTCAACAATATTAAAAAGAAATAAACATGCCAAAACCTGCTAACATTACGGTGTAACCAGCCGGTGAGGAACGATGACTCAATCAAAGCAATGTCCAGATAAATTCACTTGTTGGCTCTAATACACTAAACTATGAAGAAAGCGTAGGCAATGATTTGCAGGGTACCTTTTTATGATGTGAATCCAGCAGTCAACTTATCCCTGAAAAACAACGAGGATTCAATCGAGGTGCTCAAACGTTTCCGCATTTACATTTAAGGAGTGGAAACAGTTATCAATATTGGAAACTGATGACGTATATTCACTGGACCAACGACAGGAAGTCGAACCACGTAGCGTGAAAAGTCGCAAACTGAAACGGTATACTTACATTAATGCTATCACGGCATGTTATCATAAACTCCAGCAGTGCACTTATCCCTGAAAAACAACGAGGCTTCAAGCAAGGTGCCAAACCGTTTGCCCTTTTAATTCATATATTAATTAAGAGGGGAAAACGATAATCAATTGGAGCAGCCACGTAGCTGAATGGGCTACCCTGGCCTGGCTAAATAAAGTTACTTACTTACCACTATTACACTGAATAACATATGTTCCATTCAATACCCCGACAAAATCAAACCGTGAAGCATATATTGTGAAAGTGATTACCCTAACGTTATTACAGTACAAAACAAACCGTGTTATTTATCCTGACACTAACCTGAACGACTAAGTAGACTAGTTGAAATGTTGTCACTGCCGCAATCTCTTTCGCCAGTTCATCACAGCAAAAGGGCACACTGAAATCAGTTTAAGTTTGGAGCTCATTTGTGGTCGCCTCCTTCCAGTTATGTTATGTTTAATTGAAATGTTTATTTCCATACACGGCGCCACAGGCTACAACCTTTAAATACTACTGTGTTTAAACAAAGGTTCTTTTTTGTATGCTCATCTGAAACTCTGCATATTAGGGTATTCACAGAGATGTTTTTCAAGGCTTCTTTCTGTTTTCAAGAATAGTTCGAGATAGTCCTGACTTTGCAATGTCGGTATAATTAATTTCTTGTCGCTATACCTTCGATGAAACATGATGCGCAAACACCAGCGCGACTGTTGGGAAAACAATTATCAGGAAAGCGACTGGAAAGGCAAAAAAACATTAACCAGATTAATGGAAATGGTGTGGGCTCTGAAACTTAAAGGAGAGAAAGTCGATCGTGGTAGTGTGACTGAATGGACCTTTCAATAAACACATGTTTTGAATATCTTTAAAAAAATTCCCGTCTCTGACAAACAGTAATGTTCATTGATGTGCACATTTAAAACTTTAAATATTAGGAATGTCCACAAGATGTTGGTTTAAAGGCTTCTTTTTTTATTTGGTCAAACTCATTTTGAAATATCTGTACCATCAATTTCTTTTTAATTTATGCATATTTCCACTGCCTATTTCAGGGTATCATACTACAGGATACTGAACCGGAAGCAAAAAGAACATTAACCGTAAAGGTGTGACTGAGGATGAAGTTGAAACTAGGAAATGCAACTTAATCGATCTTCTAAAGAAACACATATTTGGAGGGTTCTATAAGCTTTCCCATGCCAAGAAATGATGATAATCGACTAAACTCTACAGTGCTATGAACCAAATCAGGCAGACAAATCTTTTTCCTTAATTGAAAAACTTTTTTTTTTCTGTATTCTATACGCATGCACCAAAGTCTTCATGGCGAATGTTGTTTCAAACCTTAAAGGAAATTTTAAAAAAGCTGACTTTATGGCTGGGACAAAATGTATTTCCAATTTGTCGTTAGGCACGCCATAACTTCTTCAGGGAATTATTGACTTCAAGATCAAAACGTAACAATTTAAAACAGTTCCCTGAAGAACTTAGGCCATGCCTAACAAAGTATTAGAAAAACATTTTGCCCCAGCCTTGAAGTCAGCTTTGCTTTTTAACAGCTGTTAATATATAAATTTAGCCAAGCCTAAAAGCGGAGCTCGCATTTTTTTTTCCCGCACGTCTCAAGGGCACAACGTTGGCTTACCCGTGGTACACTTGACCACGCATGTTAAAAGTAGCACCTTGTACGGTCGTAAGGTCGTACAACCAAATTTTTTCGGCTTGATGGGTTACTACTATTTTGTATAATTATGGGGCTACGCTCTGTGAGTTCCGTTATCATTGTCTAGATTAGACTGCGAACAGTCTCCTATTTTTCTTAAAGATGGTGGGGTTTTTATTGCGGTCGTGCGTATCTAGTGAGTATGGAGCGGCGAAGCTGCGACACATGACGGCGTCAGCCCAAGGAAGAAACCTTTTTCTTTTAATTAAAAATTATTTTCTCTTTCCCGGGCGACCGCCTTGGTGTCTTCGCCGTCCCACACTCGCGCGATACGCGTGACGTCACTAAAAAAAAACCACTTTCTTTAACCCTATTACTTCCAAGATCTGAAAGCTAATTCTCCTAACCGAGTACTACACATTTCTTTGTTGGCTTTTTCTGAGAATTTAGTGCTATATCAAGACCTTATCTCCCAATTGATAATTTTCCTAATTTTCATTACCTGTCTGCTTGAACTTAGGTAACTCTAACCCCCCAGTAACTTAAGATCCAATTTCCCTTGATCCATTTTTTTAGTCATTCACTATCAGCTAACTCACGCCCCTGCTAACTCCAACCATTTTTTGTTTCCCTTGGAAACAAAAAATGGTCAAAGTTTGAGTTAGTGGAGTTCTACATGTACTGTATTGTACCTATCAAGAAGATTGAAACTAGAGGAGTGAAGATAAAACTAGAGATTTTATTAGACAGAAATATGCAGCTGCCAATTTTTATAATAATGGCCTTATAAAAGCAGATTGAAAGAAACAAAAAGGACTAATTCCTCCAATCAGAAACAGGGGCATAACCTTTTAAACCTTCTGAAATGCTCCATGTATATATACAAATTTCTTTGGGGGGTTAAAAAGTTCCCAAACCAACACCAAATGGGTATAAAACCAAACTAGTTTAGGAATTTTAAAATCAGTCTGATCTCTCCTGAAAGACAAATCTGCCACCAGTAACGGTAAATGGCAGCCAAAAATGCATTTTCGTTGAAACATAAATTCTCAACTCCATGGATTCATGCAAGTCGACATCGACTTTTGAATATTTTCTTGAACGACAAGCAATCGAATGGACTTATCCGCTATGTTTTCTACCGAGATTAGGGGACTCGTTTTTCCTTGAGGATGAAGAAACAATAAGTACCCAAGGACACTATGCAAATCAGCTTCTCCTACAACCTAATGCAAATGAGATGAATAACACACAATTTCACTCCCAGGAGAATATGGCAATTAACAACTGCGGCCAACAGAAAATTGATCTGCTCTTGCAAGAAAGGCAGGAACATTCCAATCGGATACTAATGTTCCATCTGAACTTCAACGGCCTTCAAAATAAATTTGATGGACTGAAACTCCTGAATGATGAGATGAAGTCGCAAGTTATTTTTCTCTCAGAGACAAAGATCGGTTTGTCCTACCCGAACAACTAGTTCACCTTAACGGGTTACAACATGTATCGAAAAGACAGAAAGAAAGGAGACGGTGGGATAATAGCCTATTTTGGTTCTAGTCAACCCTCGAAGGAGCTGAAAGTAACGAAGAAATACAAAACACTCGAGATTCTTGCAGTAGAGGCTAGACTTGGCAACAACGAAGTCATTTTCCTCAGGATATACTGACCCCCGAAGTAGTCCGATCACCAACTAGACCCACATTACTTAGAACGTGTAGAGGAGGAACTGAATGACGTTTGCATGTGGGCTTCCCTCAAAAAACAGATATTTATTATTACAGGTGATCTGAACCTGGAAAGGCTAAAACCAGAAAGCAGAGAAGGGAAAATACTTGCCGACCTAGAAGAAGTGCATGGAATGCAATGTTTAAGCCGACGACGATTACGCCGACAACAGAGACACTGCTGGACGTTATTTTAACCAACAAACCCAACCTTTTCAGGACAGGAGGCTCTTTTAACCCAGAGATAATTGATCACACCTCAGTTATGGCATTTTGAAGCAATCTGTATTACAGTATAGACGAAAGACCAACGCATTAGAAGCCTGAAAAACGTAGATATGGATAAGCGTAATGAGGACTTGGGAAATGCTCCCTGAACTGTTGGAGAAACATTCGATGCTATCAAGGACCAACATGACGCATGGAAACCATTTTTGAAAGTGTAGTGGACAAAAATATGCCAAAAATGAAGATCAGAGTTAGACAGAAAGATGTAGCATATGTGACGGAAGAATGGAAAATGGCAACTAGGAACAAAAGGAGATATGCACAATTGTTTGCCCAAATCTAGAAAACTGTGAGTTAAAAAGGAAATAGAGAAACTTTGCCACTAAAGATAAGAGACGTGCTATTAAAGCTCACTGGGCCCAAAAATCGGATAAACTTAGGAAGAGACCAAGGGATTTCTACAAAACCTTTAAACCTTTCTTAAGTGATAAGAGCGAAGAGGAGACAAAAATTGCCATTAAGATTGACGAGTGAATTGTAACAAACCAGAAAGTAGTGGCAGACGAGCTTGGAGACTACTTTTCAACTGTTGCAAATGCCATTGATGATGCACAGATAATGAATTTAGCTGAAAAAGACTTGAAAAGCTGAGAAAGACTTGAAAAACTGAAAAAGACTGAAAAACACCTGAGTGTCAAGAGCATTCGGAAAGCTTATCAAGGCCTTCAATTTGGATTAAACGAAATGGGCTCTGGTGAAGTGGAAAACGAACTGAAAATGCGTAGATCAAACAAAGCCACAGGGTGGGATGGAATCTCTCCGAAAATTCTAAAGTTAACTGCCAAAGGTCTAGGAACGTCCTTAACAAGTCTCTACAACACCTTTATTAGAAAGGGAAATTGGCCAAACATGTGGAAGATGGTGGAATGGACCCCTGTTTTCAAGGAGGGAGATAAAACCGACCTATAACATTACAGTTGTTATCTTGATCTAGCACCAAATTCTTCATAACTAATTTACAAGAAAATATGTACCAGCCAGAGGGGATAATTAACATTTCAATTAGGTGTGAGAGGCCATTCATATGATATTTATGGTTGAGAAAAATACATATCTATCAAATCTGTTCTAGTACATGTAAGTTTTGTTTTTTTCTCGGTGATTCTTTGTGAAACATGAAGATTATGATGCACTGGTACGTGTAGGGAGAACTCACTCGATAGGAAAGCGCGAACTATTGGAACCTCCGTCCCTTCACTAGGTCTGGAT